ACGCCATTTCCGCCTTTTGGCCGTACGTTCAGTTTTAGTATGGTTTCCACGCAATCCTTTATAAATGAGACCCCAGCCCTTCTGGCACCAACAACCATGCCACGTTCAAAGGCACTCAAATCACCTTTCTTCCCCATACTGATGCTCGGTTTGAACTGCAGGAGATTGTCTTGACCATGTCTACATGCCTAAATGCACTGAGTTGCCGCCATGTGATTGGCTGATTAGAAATTAAGTGTTAATGAGCAGTTGGACAGGTGTACCTAATAAAGTGGCCGGTGAGTGTATATCTAAGGTTATCATCCCAAACTACTGTAGTTTAGGATAACTTTAGATACAGTTTGGGATAACCTTAATACAATTTGGGATGATAACCTTAGATATAGTTTAGGATAACCTTAGCTACAGTTTGGGATGATAACCTTAAATACAGTTTGGGATTATAACTTAGATATAGTTTGGGATGATAACCTTAAATACAGTTTGGGATTATAACCTTAGATATAGTTTGGGATGATAACCTTAGATATAGTTTAGGATAACCTTAGACATAGTTTAGGATAACCTTAATACAATTTGGGATAATAACCTTAGATGTAGTTTAGGAAAACCTTAGACACAATTTGGGATGCTAACCTTAGATATAGTTTAGGAAAACCTTAGACACAGTTTGGGATGATAACCTTAGATATAGTTTGGGATGATAACATTAGATACTGTTTGGGATGATAACCTTAGATATAGTTTGGAATGATAACCTTAGATACAGTTTGGGATGATAACCTTAGACACAGTTTGGGATGATAACCTTAGATATAGTTTGGGATGATAACCTTAGATATAGTTTGGGATGATAACCTTAGATATAGTTTGGGATGATAACCTTAGATATAGTTTGGGATGATAACCTTAGATATAGTTTAGGATAACCTTAATACAATTTGGGATGATAACCTTAGATATAGTTTAGGATAACCTTAGATACAGTTTGGGATGATAACCTTAGATACAGTTTGGGACAACCTTAGATATAGTTTGGGATGGTAACCTTAGATATAGTTTGAGCAACTGAATTTATTCATCAAGCAACATTGAGAAATAATTCCACAAAGCTTCAACAGTGTCCTCAGTTCACAAACTCTTATTGAGAGTTGTTAAAAGCAAAGCTGATGGAATACAGTAGAAAACATGACCCTTTCCCAGCTTTTATGGAACGTGTTGCAGCATCAAATTCAAAATGAGTGAATATTTGCAAAAAATAATAAAGTTTAACTGTTTGAACATAGTTTGTCTTTGTAGCATATTCAGTTAAATATAGTTTAAAAAAGTTTTGCAGATCATCATATTCTGTTTTATTTATGTTTTCAATGATTCAAGGATATTTATTTGTCATTCCCTTCAACACAAACATCAGATGTTCAGGAAAGGTAACGAAACTGGCTGCACTGGTCCCGGTGTTCAGTGTGAACGATAATGTGAAAAATAGGGCATTAAAATGAAAGTATTTACACAAACAAGCGTCAACAGCTACAACAAAGAGTGTGCAATACACAACGACCCAACTTCTTGTACTATTTTTACACAGAATGCGTTGCATTGTAGTCTAGTAGCTTGGGATAACTTCAGGACATGGTTATTACAATAAATAAGATTGAGTTCATGTCGTTTATTTCTGGTAAGAACCTGAATGTTGATCTCTTTATCTGTCAACAACGACCCGGATGCCATCGTTTCCCATCATCTATTGACATCCAACACCTGGAGACAGGAACTGCTCTGCTGTCGGACGGTTCCGGTAAAATCTATCACCGGAGCACAAACTGTCTTTTCTCTGGCTTGTTTACCTGCAGCTACGAGTGATTGGGGGGGGGACGAAGGGTCTTTGTGACACAAACCTCAGTTCAGCCAATAGGAAGTGATGGAGGAGCAAACAACAGGGAGGTGTGTGTGTGTGTGTGTGTGTGTGTGTGTGTGTGTGTGTGG